CACCACAGTAAAACTTTTACTTTCAGCACCACTAGCTTGGCAGCACACAACACAGTAATCCCTTTCAGATCACTGTGTGACCAGGTGTGGAGAAAGGAAACATGCGATTGGATTTTATTCTTAAACCGCAGAGCATTCTGAGGTTATGTACTAAGGTTTAACAAAATGCACGTGTGTTTCCTTAGGCCATGTGGGTCAGGCTGTATGGCCTGTTCTTCCAAGTTTGATTCACTTCTGCTGTTCCTTCAAAGCATTTCTTGCAGATTATGTTTTTAGGTTGCATTTTGTAGACTATGATACAAATTGTAAAAATTAGGTCATATAACTCTGGTCAGTTTTTAGATACCTCCTCTGAAAGTCTCTTTCTTCCTTTCCAGTGAACTTGGAGAAATTCCTACACTAAAAACACTACAAGTTTTTGGAATCGTGCCAGATGGTACCCTTCAACTATTAAGGGAAGCCCTTCCTCATTTGCAGATTAATTGCTCCTATTTCACCACCATTGCCAGGCCAGCTGTTGGCAACAAACAGAATCAGGAGATATGGGGCATCAAATGCCGCCTGACACTGCAAAAGCCCAGTTGTCAATGAAGTACTTATTGCAGGATGGTATCTGCTCTTCCTTTGGAATGGGGGGAAACAGTCAGGAAGCCCAACTGCTGGATACTCAGCTAGTTTTATTACTGATTTTCCTTTAGCCTTCATCCTGCAAGTATTTTAGGGAAGCATTTGAGAGAGAAAACTATGAAGTGTTGCTTTTTAAAAATGACTTTAAATGCTTCTGTCAATGCTGAGCCCTTAAGAGCCTTTGGAAATTGTAGAAGAATGAGCCTATAATTTCAAGATGACTTTTTAAAGATCAAAATTTGAGCCACCTCTGTCAAGTGCCCTTTTGATTAAGTCTATTTTGAATCAAGCTTTAAAAATTACCACAGGCTTACAATGTTCACAGCCTATGTGTTAACTTTTATGCATTTAATTTTCCAGTACTGCTTTATAAGACATGGCTTAGAAGAACATTGAGCTATGTGTGTACTGTGAGCTGAACAGTAAGAATCACAGAATATAGTGTTTGAGGTAATCTTTTCTGGGGGATAATGCATTTTAATTTTATCTTTACATTTAAAATTAGTTTATCCGAAAACCCCATGTAATTCACCATAACCCCTCAATTAAAAGAAACAAATTTAAAGATATCAGAGGTTTAAAATTGGCATAGGATTTGAAGGCTTGGGAGGCAATTTTATATGCCAGGTTAATCTGAAGAACCCTTTAATGTTCATTAATGTACTGTGTTCCCAGAATTTTAAATTAAGTGAAGAAATATTGTGGTTTTTAACTTTATAATCAAATTATGTTATTATGGGTTGTTTAGCTTTTTAAAATGGCTTGCTTTTAGAAAGGGGTATTATCCTAATCAGTCTGTTTTTGAAAAGTTGAATGGAAGAATTCTGAACTGATACTACCTGTTTTCCTTTAGTGCTGAGGTTATTTTTTTATTACTTTGGAATCAAGTATTTTAAATTGTCTTTTTTTAAATGGTCTCTCAAAATAATTGTTTGAAACTACGCACTATAAGGTTACTGGACCTGCAAACAGCTTGTTCCTTTAAATCAGAAATGCACACTAGAAGCAGGTGTTCCATGCAGTGCAGTTGGCCACTGTTTACACCTACGTCTTATAGAAGAGTTCAGACTCACATGATGAAACCTTTGATGGCATGAGTGATTTTTTATTTTTTAAACCTGGTACACAGAAGCAAACATTAAATTCTTTTTAAAAAATCACTCAAAAATAAACCTACTTTTAAGTTGATGACCTATTTTCACAGTGCAACCAAAAAAAGCCAAAACCCATCATCTTTTCTATTAACCACTTGTTTACTCCAAGAGTCACTCGGGTAGCACGTTTACATACAGACTATCCTAAGCTTCGCTCAAGCAGGTGTCATTTCAACCAGTAGATTCTTGTATTGAATAAATTTGATAATATTGTCATTTTTATATTTCCTGTTATCTTATAAAAATGAAAAAATGTGAAATTTTTGGTCATCCTGTATTTAAATAATTGGACTGGTAATTGGTTAACTTTTTTAATATCAAAAATTTTAAAGGTTAAAATATGGTAATAGTTTGAAGTGCCCTTATTTGCTCAGGCCTAAGGAAGAACATTTAGTGTTACATAGGAAATAATTATGCTTCCATTTCTTAGTTAAAAAGTGCTAAATACTACTTGAAATTATTGTTTACAGATTAGTGACAAGGGCTGGTGATAGGATCTGGTTGGACTCTGACCCTCCGGGTGCCTTCAGACATAACAGTGCCTGTATTTCCAAACTCAGTTCCAACAATAAGCTATTTTTCCAACATGTCAGAGTAATCTGTATTTTTGTATGTGATTTCTACTTTTATAGACTTGTTTTAAAATAAACACACTTTTTATAAAAATGAATACTTGAGCTAAGTTGTATTCCTTTTTTCCTTTAAGTACATCATTAAAATTAGAAAGCAGTCACTGGGGGCTGCCATTTGGCTCAGTAAACTCTAAGACCCTACAAATCAGAGTCCTAAACAACATCCTGTCTACTTCATATGCTTGTTTTCAAATGTAAATGGTAGTTTATAATGCATTTTTAAAAGGTGCTAAGTATTGGCTCATTTCCTTTAAAGTGTTTCCAAATGTAATGGCATTTATAAAACATTTGAATTTGAGTGATTAATGTGATAGTCAAGTACTATCAATAAAAGCCAACTAGTAAAAATTTTAAATACAGATTCAGTGGGCTTATACATCATATTTTATTGTCACTTGAAAACTATTTGATTAGTTTCTTATCCCCAGAAGCCTTCCAGGAATTCAGTTCTTTTTGAAGCCAGCTGTCCATTTGAATGGTGTCATAGTGATTCTTGAATATCATCCAGTTTTGTTGATCATTCTTTTACATTATCTCTACTGTGCCTTTTTTTTGAATGATGAAAATATCAAATATATGCAGTAAGTAAAGATTATGATAAACTCCATATGCATTTTTAACAATCGTTAATTCCTGGCCAATTATCTAGGACCTCAACCATTCTCTTGCTGCCACACGCACAACACATAGATCGTTTGAAATAGCACTCAGACCTGTACCTCTGAGAGGAGGATTCTCCCGAATTAAGTCTGAGTCTTAGTTCTTGCCAGTATTTTCATACATGGGTTTGTTTTGGTCAGGCTCTTAACTTGGTCTGCACATTGCATTTAAATGATATCCTTAAAAGTTAATCTTTATGTCCCCTCTTTTTTACCTTGTATTCATTAATGAAGCTAGCTTCATCTGGATTTTGCTATTATCCCTGGAATGGTGCTTAACAGGTTTATCTGTCCCCTATTTCCATAAACTGGTGGTTAGATCTAGCTTGTCTAGACCTAGACAAACGGTGATTTTTGCCTCCCAGGAGATACTTGGTAACATGAGGACATATTAAAAGGTATACTACATCAAGCTGGCCATGGTGGCACAAGCCTGTCATCCCAACACTGGAGAGGCTGAGGCAGGAGGCTTGCCAAGTTGAGACCAGCCTGGGCTACAGTGAGTTCAAGGCCAGCCTGAATTACAGTCCCTGTCTCAAAAAAGCAAAATCAAAAAAAGATATACATCAGTCTCCTTTTGTATTTTAACTGGTATCACTTATAGACCCTTGATTCCTCGTCCTCCTCTACCCTATTCATAAGTTCCAGAGATAAGAAGAATACTCTAGCCTAAGGCAAAACTGATTTCTGGATAGGCTGCATATGTCCCTTTTGTCCTAGTGAATTCAACTGTAGTTCAACATTTTCAGAGGATTTACCATGTGGAAGATAACTGTGTTTGAACAATAGCACAGGGAAAGGTTCAGAACATTATGAAGGAAAGCAAGTGGTCTAGGGACTGGGCAAAGAGAAGGAAACTTGTTACTGTGTATGCTGCTAATCCCAGAAAAGCACTTAATCACTTTTTCCCCCCTCCCTACCTAGCCACATATCCCAGAAAGTAAAAAAGGTCTCTAATGACAAGATACAGGTCAAAGTCCTACAATCCTGTACTAAACGTTTTATTGCATTCTGCTTTAATGTTTTAGTGAATCTGAACATTAAAATGATGATTTTTATATTTCTCAAAATGAGTACCAAAATATCTACATTAGTTTTGAGCATTAAAATCAATATTTAAGGTGTTCAAGATAATACTTAAAATATTTTCTATCTTTAGTGATTTTCTTAAAAATGTGTAAGACTTAACTTTTCATACCTTCCTTAATGTACAAAATTTAATAAGCCTTCTCACTGACATGATACAACCCAAGTATGTACACTTAAAGGCAAAAATAATCTGCATTTGAAAAAATAACTTGTTTAGTTCAATAGTACATTTTCTTTTCTCCCCACACCAGTATATATATGTTTCATCATATTGTTGTTACATTATCTGGTTGTTACATTATCTCTGGGATCTTTTTTGCACTACTGTCTTGGTATAGATAGTTTCTTAAGTATCAAGATACATACATTGGCACAATGGAATGAAATTTTAGTGCTTTAAGTTCTAAATTTACATTGGTATTTTCACAGCTGAGCAATAGGTAATGTGTCCTTAAATTTATATCACACCTTTTTCAACTCAAGTGAATATTTCACAATAAAATATCTGTATTAACTGGCTCTATTTTGCTTATTTAAGAAGTGAAATCTGTAAAATTTCTGTAAGTGAAAGCTATACATTTACTAAAACTTGTAATATGATTCAATATACTGGGCCCTCAATATTTAAATGAAACATCAAAAATATTTGATAGTTTTCTGAAGAGTCTACATTTTTCAGGTAACCACTTCACCCTCTGATTAAATAACTGATCATTCTATCTCAAATGTCACAATGAAGGAAGTCTGCAGGGTACAGAATACACCGCAGTGAGTAAAAACTCTTAAAATGGTATTTTGGGAAAACTTGGTTTTCAAATAATGACCCCATGAGGAAATAATGAAGTAAAAAAGATAACAATGGTTTAACTTTATTCACATATAGTTGCCATTTAAAGGTTAACTCATTCAGAAAAACATTTTGGCTATTCTAACATGCTCTGTTTCTCATCTCTTACAAATAAATCCCCACCACGGAGCAGAAGTTACATTGCAAATGAAGCATATTAAGAACTTCTAAATTATGACTTATGAGCAATTTCATACAGCAGGTTACCTATTAATATGTTACACATTAACAGGTCTATGGTAACACATGGGCAATCACAATATTCCTTGAAATATCAAGTTGGTCTTTTTTTTCAAGATATTTTAAAATCTGCTAAAGGAGATTCTATATTGTGGAATTTTAACTTCTTTATAAAGTGGTCTTACATATTTTAAATCCAACTGGAACTTATATCTACCTCTGAGAAAACGCTAATTTTTATTTTATTTCCATCTGATGCATCATGTAAATTCTCTGCTCTGAGTGTTTATGCAGATTATTCCTAATTAAGAGAATAACAGATTCTTAGCAATATACATCAAAATCTAGATTACCTTTTTACCTTAACATTTCTTTTTTAAAATTTTGGTGTAAGAGCAACATGTTAAACACTGGTGGCAAAACTAAGAGCTCTCAATTTGACTATACATCCTAGCTCCCAACGAATTTTACTTCTGAGCCCACTAGTCTCAAATTCTAGTGATAGTATGCTTCATTCATCAACATGTATCCAGCACCTAACAGTAAGTAATACACAGCACAGAGTGGGTATTTAATAAATATTTTGTCAATGACAATTTCAACAGTGAAAAAAACACAACTTTGGATAAATGGCATGAGAATGCCATTTCATTATTCAGCAATAGGAGCTTTTTGTTGAAAATTATAGGATTACTTACTATAAGTAGATCCAAGAATTAAATAAAAATTTCCTCCAAGAATAAAGGAATTCTCATAGTGGGAAAAAAAGAAAAGCCATCACATTTTACCCTACAAAGCTATTATGTAAAATTTGAAATATGAAATAAATGAAACCCATTACAATACTGAATAAAGCAGTTCCAAAAGTACTGTTTTACATATTTACTAAAGAATCCATTCTTTCTAACAGTATTGCCAACACTTGATCAAAATATTTTTTAAAGATTTTTGCCAAACTCCTAAGAGACTATGCTTCATCAATTCATCCTTTTAGTCCCTGACTAAAGACAGGAGAGACCCATTAGACTCAAAGTCATCTTTTTAAAGACTGTCTAACCTAAAGTAGATACTTTAGTATATCTGTAACAGCATCATGATTTTTGTCCCAACAGATGTATTTTACCTGGCACTGTTGAAATTGACAATGAAAAATGAAAATACGTATAAATAATTTCAGAAATTACTGAAATTTTTAAATCAATAAAGATCACATCATTGTGATCTGGAATTAGAAAATTCTTAGCACATATAAAAACCACATTTACCTACTTCAATTAGGTCAATGTCAGGATTTATCAAAATTCTCTATAATCAAAATTTTTAAGAATCCTTACTTTTAGGTACTATGAAAAATAAGCACTTAAATGGTATATGACCAACTGCACAAAGGAAAGGAAGAAAAAAAAACAGTTAAAATTTTAAATCCTAAACATTTAATCCTTTATGTAAACCTGCTTCTAAATTTTAAAAGATACAACCATCTTGGTTACCAATTGTAAAGAATTTAAAAATTCACTGGTATCAATTCTATTCCATTTAGTCCATCTACTTTTTTACACAGTCAACATCTTTTCTGTATTTGAAGCCAACAGAAGAATAATGTAAATCTCATTTTCTTTGTCACCTTTGAGCTCATGGCAACTGGTATCAATAATAACCCAAAAAAACAAAAGGCTTTATGGGTGGTAGTCTGTTCTGCAGTAAAAATATTTTTCCAGTAATCAATATTTGTCATCTGAGGAAATCCTTCACTGTTCTAGAAGCACAGTTCGAAGCTCATCTTCTTTACTGATCATCATCGAAGCAATTGCCCCATCATTAAACTCAAAAGAAGTTCCTCCATCCACAACCATACAGGCATCCCAACAACGAGAGCGAACACAAACCCTAGGCAGAAGGATATCTCATTAAATATTAATAGTTTTCTTAACCCTAACAAAATAATAACTGAATTTTTATCTGAACTGGCAAATTATTTGGCCCTGATTTCAAAAACCAAGTAATGTGAGAAAATGCATGGCTGTGAACAATATGGGGACACTGTCACAGTCTCATTTGTACAAAATGCTCAGGATAGAACCATTAAATCAAACATTCCAATGAACAAGTTTACAAGTGATAAAACTCAAAGACTGTTTTCATATGGCCACTGAGTTATTACAAATTATTTTAAGTATTGAGCAAGTGTTATTTTCATGTAAAATTTTTACAGAAAGAATATATATACATGTATGTATGTGTATATATACACATACATACACACACACACAGAAGAGGCACAAATTATTAATGGACATACTTGCATCATTATCCAAATCAGGAATCCATGCCCTTTTCCTGCTACTACCCCTGCTCGCTCCCATTCCCAAGCATACTCACTATCCTAATTTCTATCACTTTAGTAGCAACAGCTTTGTCTGTTCCAGTACTTTATATAAATATTTTAGCCATTTCTAAGTGTGTGTGTTGTATCTTCTTACATACTTTTAGTTTTCATCTCCCAGATGACTATAAGCTCAAGTGCCTTTTTCATATGATCACTGGATATCCTCTTTTCTCAAATTCCTGTACCTTGCCCATTTTGTTGGACTGCATTAATGATGTGCAGGAATTTTTATTTACAGGTTGAGTATCCCTTTTCTAAAATGCTTGGCTTCAGAAATGTGTGAGATTTCAGATTTTTTTCAGATTTTGGAATACTGACATACAGATAATGAAATATCTTGGGGAGTGGACAAACTAGTCTAAATTTATGATTCATATATATTGTAAACACAACCTAAATATAATTTTATATCATTTCTAGTGCACTTACATTTTGACTATGACCCATAGCATGATGCCAGGTGTAGAATTTTCTACTTATGGCATTATGGCTGTTCTCATAAAGTTTTGGATATTGGAAAATTATAATTTCAGATTTTCAGATTAGGGATGTTCAACCTGCACTATATATTTGGCTATGATCCCATGTTGCATATAGGTCTTGCAGATATCATTCTCTCTCTGTAGCATGCCTTTTTATTACTGATGTCTTTTATTACTATAAGTTCTTAATTCTAGTGTAATTCAAGTGATTAATCTTTTGTTGTTCAAGTACTTTTCATGACAAGTTTAAGAAACCTTTCCCAACTGCCCAAGTACAAAATTATTCTATTACAAAAATTCAAACATAAAGATAAGAATGTATCTTGGAAGGAATCTTTGTAGTCTCATTCAAACTGAGTACAGATTTGATTTAATTAATCAAAATTAACTCTCAAATAAGGTAATATTAAGACAGGTTTTCTTTTTGCATTTTATCTGGAAAAAATCAAATATATACGTATTAAAAAAAAAAAGGATATTTACACGCTAGGTGCCATTTTATAATTAACCTGGTCTTTGCTTGCTGTGAGATGACATTTTCTCATAACTAAGTTTTCTTGTTAGTTTGAAAAAATTGGGCAAAATTTTATAAAATAAATTATATTCATTTGGGTATACATTTCCCCCCTCAAAAATAAAAATGAAGCAAATTCAATACATTGGGTGTTCACATTTAGGGAAAAGCTGAGAGAAATTAATCTTACTCTAACTTAGGTTTTACACAAATATTTATCCTGCTTTTATTCCACAGCTTACTAAAAAGATTTGTTTCTAATGTTTCTTTTAAAATAATCAATTTGAAGGGCTGAGGATTTAGCTCAGTGGTTTCACCACCTGCTGCACAAGCTCAAGGACCTGAGTTCAAGCCCCAGTACCAAAAAAAAAAAAAAATTAAAATGATCAATTCGACCTTATTGTATCTTGACACATTAAAAAAACCAACAAATCAAAATCAACCAATTAAATAACTAATGCCTCTTTTCAATAAAATTTTAGTTTCTCTGAAATCACATTTTGAAAGTATATTATCCAGGTTAGCATGATTCTTCATTAATTTCATAGGTAAAGCTTTTTCTACCACATTAAATTTAAACCAATTAGTACTTTTAACACTGCTATATGATGAATGAAAGGGATGAACATCAAAGTCAGACCGAGGATGCTTACTTTGAGGAGAAACAACGCTGGCGGCTGCTGAAGAAAACTCTGTTTGCTATCGGTTCTCGGATACTGAAAAGTATTTTTGGTTCTTCTGGACTGTACAGCAGTGATTCATTATATTCATCTGTTACTGTAAGAAAAAAAATTACCATATTCAACGAAGGATGGTCATTTTTGAGAAGTGTAAAACAAAACAGATGCTATCCCCAACTTAAAAGTCTGGGCGGAATTTGCTTGGAGTTCAACACAGACTTCACACACACACACACACACACACAACACTATAAATGAGTATTACCATCCACAAATATCCCACAAAAGTATATTATCACCCACAATACAGAAATAAGTATAGTTTAACTGGGAAAAATACTACCTACAAAGATAGTAATTAAATTAAAACTAAAGGAGGCCAGGGATTTAGCTCAGTGGTTCCGCCGCCTGCCTCACAAGCGGAAGGACCCAAGTTTGATCCCCGGTACAAAAAAAAAAAAAAAAACTAAAGGAAATAGGTAGACACACTCAAAAGTATCAAAAACAGAACTTGGGTTGCCATGTTCCCCTGCTAAATTCTTTCCAGAATACTATGCCAAAGAGTTTATAAGTTAAGTCTTGATATAAAACAGCCTCAAACAGTAATAGGCGATATTCTTTCTCCAATGAAACTCATTTCTCAAGATAATTTTAGAAATCTTTGGGACCTGCCTTTTCCCATGCCAAGAGGCACATGAGGGACGAGGGTTGGCATGCAAAGCACAACTGAATAAGCCAGGCGTGGTGACGTGTCTCGTGCCCCTGTGATCTCAGCTACACAGGATTCTGAGGCAGGAGAATCACTTGAGCCCAGGAGTTTGAGGCCAACCTAGGCAATATAGCAATACGCTGCCTCAAAGGAAGGGGAAGAAGGAGGGAGGGAAAGGAAGGAGAAGAAGAAAGGAAAGAAGGAGGTAAAGGAAAGAAAGAGGAAGAAACTATATGAAGAAATCAGGCTTGAAAGATAGATCAGTTGATCACTGTATTAAGAAAAAATTACAAGACTGTCAGATCATCTACCTTATTCATGAAAGTATCATTTGAGTTACTGGTGCTCCTCAACTTACAATGAGATTTCATCTCTACAAACTCATCATAACCTGAAAATGTTGTAAATTGAAAATGCACTTAATACACCTAACCTATGAAACATCAGAGCAACGCAGTACATTAGAATATGCACTGTTCACTGCCACCACACAGGATCCTATCTAGTAAAGCTATTACCAGCTCAGGAAAAAAAATTCTAAGTATAGTTTCTACTGAATGCATATCATGTACCATCATGAAGTTGAAAAATTATATGTGGCTCTTTAGAAACAAAATCTAATTCATCCAAAAACATAAAAATTTGCTTTCTTGGGAACATATCACCAGAAATATTCTAGATCTGAAAGAAACTTCAAAGGAATAGTTCCAGAAATGTCAATAACAGTGACTGTACAAACAGCATTCACTATTGCTTAATGATAGTTAAATCTTCAAAGGGATAACATCTATCCAGTAAAAATATATGTTTATTAAAATAAAAACTAATCAGTATATTTTGCATATACCCTTATTTATAAATGACATAAACCTGTCTCGGTGTATGTGCATGTATGTGTATGTGTGTGTGTGCATCTATCTGTCCAATTATCTAATTTTTAGATTTGCATTTTTTGATTTCCACATAGTTGCACATATTTATAAGAGACAAATGTGATATTTTGATTCATGTATACTTTGGGTAGTGATCAACTCAAGGTAATTGGCATAAACTTCACCTTAAACCTTTACTACTAGTTTCTCTTAGTTCACTGAAAAGAAAGTTTTCGGCTCTTTTCTGTTTGTTTCTTCTTTGTAAGAGAATCTTTTTGTCTATGTTTTGTACTCTGAGTAATTACTTTGAAGATAACACAGTGTATTAACTATTCTCTTATTTTGTCATAGTTTTATTTTTTCATAAAATAAAACATTTTTTAAAATCTTTACCATTTCTTTAAGGTTATATTCTAAGTTAAACTCTACAATTGAGAGTTGATTATTATACTGTATGTGCCCAATTTTGCTTTCTTTGATACAGACTGAATGCTAATACCCATGATTAAAATAATCATTTTGGTCTCAAATTGAAAGAAAAACAATCTACTTTAGGGAGCTGAAACCATGAAAAGCAAAACCATGGTAAGGAAGTAACCTGCTGCAGTGCCACAGGGAATTTAGATATGCATTTTCTATTTGCAAGATACAGATTTCTATTTGCAAGGTACAGATTTTTCTATATTTTCCTATTCCCCAGGACATGTTTATGGTTATGTACAATATTTTGGCTTAAAAATTATACATCAGGTCCAATATAAAATCTAAGTTTAATCTTTATATTGTTTAGTCACATTTAAAGGGTTATTGTATTAAGCACATGTTTGATTCTAAAACAACTGCTTTGCTAATTAAAGAACTCTATACTATCACTCAAAACTGATATAAACTAAACTATTAGTGATTAATATCATTTGTTACTGACCTTTTTCTACCAATTCTCTGTTCAATGGAAGATTCAAATTTCCTTGTCGTTTTGCTGTTGAAAGAGGAAAGCGGGATATATTTTCATCAAATAGTTTATATAACAGCTAATATACATTACCATATATACATTATATTACATACTATAATCATAGCATATAATAGTTGTTTTGATACTCACCAATATTTAAAACATCTTCCACAGCCTGAGTTGCAACCCTGTTAATATTGAAAGACCTGGAAACAAAAACAACATAATTATTTCAGGTTTTAATTCTAAAAATATGCTAAAAATATAAATGCTTAATATGTATAGAATTTTTAGAAATTATTAAGACAAGTTATAAATGAATATAGCTAAACACTGACAAATAATGTATTGAAATGGCTATGGGGTAACAAGTATTCTCATACTGGTAGGGGTACAGAAGTTGCAATTGGAAAGCAATTCATGCACTATCAAAATTTAAAATGAACATATTCTGTATTCTAGCAATTTATCTTAAAATACGTTCCCACATATAATGTACAAAGATACATATAAAAATATTTACTGAAGCACTATAATTGCACAATAAATATATAGTCATAGGAAACTGGTTAAATAAATTATAGTTACTCATTATGATGCTAAAAAGAATACAGCTATACAGTATGATATGGAAGGATAACCAAAAGGTTAATTTTTTAAAGGGATTATAGTATGCGTGTGTAAAATGAAGATGCTAGCTTTTCACTGTTTTCACTATGCAGTGAAATAGTAAGTTAACTCCCTGTACTCTCCAATCTTATGCTTTCACCTTTAGACAAATGTGAAAATATTTTCGACATTTTAGAGGCAAAATGTAGATTCAAATTATTACCTTAAAAGTTTGAAATCATTCACATATCAAACTCTTTTGCTTAAAAACAAAATCTAAGATCTGGTCCTTGCCTACTCCATCTTTCACCATCATCTACCACAGATTTCACGATCTAACTATAAAAAACTCATTCCTACCTCTGTACCTTTGCTCAGACTATGTGGTATGAAGCAAAACACTGTCAGTTTCCTGACTTTCTTATTCAGTAAATATGTATCTTATTAGTATTATCGTTATACACTACAAAGCACTTAGGGTACTTCCTGGTTCGAGGCAAGGATTCAACACTGAACAAAAAATGTTAAAACCAAGGGAGATACATTAGTCGTATTCTAATTCTTCTGAACACTCACATTATTGAATGCTTAGGAACTTTCCTTATTTTAAAATCTAAAAATCATATAAAAGCAAATTATTGGGCTGGGGATTTAGCTCAGCGGCACAGTGCTTGCCTGACAAGCATGAGGTCCTGAGTTTGATCCCCCATACAAAAGAAAAAATATGATTATTAGAGTTCTAATAAACATCAAAAGATTTAATGACTAATAAATGTCTCTTTATAGTAAACACAGAATTCTTATAAGAACTTGCTCTAATATTCCCAAACTATGAATTATTAAGGATACCACAAACCAGAACTAAATAAATTCTCTGAATTGGAGTTATATTAACATTAGTTTTCTATGGTTGTAACAAGGACTTTAGCCAATTCAATCTACCTTTACGAGCAATAAGTTATGTTCTACATCAAAGACATACTAAAATTTCATCTCATAAAAATGTCCTCTCAGTCAGGCATGGTGCCAACATGCATGTAATCTTAGAGGGTGGGTGCTAAGGCAGGAAGACTACAAATTGGAGGCCAGCTTGGGCAACGTAGTGAGACTCACCTCAAAATTTTTAAAATTAAAAAATACTAGGGGTGTAGCTCAGTGGTAGAGCACTTGCCTAGCACTAGGCACTGGGTTCAATGCCCAGTATCAAAACGAAACAAAAAACAAAACATGACAAATAAATTAACCCTGACCTTAAGTCAGACAGGGCAGAATATATTCAGGAGGAGGGAGGAGAGCAGCCTGAGGAATAAACTGAAATATGGTGATTGGTGACTCCATTCTGACTTCTAGTGTGGAGGATAAACCATGTAACACTAGACAGAAGACTGAGCTAAGGGACAATTCAGACATTTGCTATTCAATACAACCCCTATATCTGAACCCTGTAAAATAATTTTTGAAAAAACAAATACAGGAATCCCTAAACCCTTTTCTTTTCTGTGGACATATAGTTAGGCTTTAGTTTCTAGCCCCTCTCACCATATAAGCATGTGAGTTCTAGATACAGGAATATGAGTGGATGGATGGGCAGCACTTCCAAGCCTGGCTCACCAGCCTGCCAGGGGGTCCTCCGTGGTCTTTCTTTTTAAACTGTGGCTTGACAAAAATGAACACAGTGAACTCAGGAACTATGTTTAGAAGATGGCAGAGCCAAGGATGGAAGGAGCCTAGCTCCCTGAATTGCTGCTTGAAGGAAAGCCACCTACCAATTACCCACTGTGCTTTATGAGAATAGGAAATAAACTTCTATTATGTTGAGCCATTATGTTACAACAACTAGCTTACCCTGAGTTACACATTTCCACATTTCTATATTCTTGCACTGACATGGTCATGTAAAAAACAACTTTTTATTTATCAAAAAATAAAAAAGAAAAGAAAATAGACTATCCTAACTTTTCTTTCCAGTGACTCCTCAGGGCTTTACAGATTGAAGTTATATCTCTGATTTAAATCCTGACTTCACCATTTATTAGCCACATGGCTTTGGGCAAGTCAGTTAACTTAAGAGACTTCATACTCTGTTAATGAAAATAAAATCGCCTAACTCCAGAGTATATGTGATAATTTAAAAAATGTATGTGATAAAATAAGTACATACTGCTCAGAAGTAGTATGTGATAAAATAAAATTATGATGTATAAAAATGTATAGATTTCTCCCAGTCCCTCTTGCTTCCAGGGTGCTCTTCTCTCTTTGCATTTTCCAAAGAGAAAAGAACAAAAGATGTATCTCAGCAAAAAACTCAGCAGTAACAGAAAGGAAGAGGCAGAGAGTTAGAGGCAAGCAATTTGCTCAAAGCAAGAGCTTAAGGATAGGATGTGGAATTCTACACTAGAGTACTTTAATAACCAACACAGAGAAGGCTGAAATTCTAATCTCAGCCTTACTTATTCAAATGTAACATGTAACTCTGGTTACAATGTGTATCTCACTGTAAAGGTCTTGGATTCAATCCCCAGTACAGGGTGTGTGTGTGGGAGGGGATTAACAGTGACTGCTAGTCTTTATGTTCTTATCATTGACAAAAACTTGACAAGTAAAACTATCAAAATTATACACACACTCTCCAAAGAAAAAAGTCAAAGCCCGACTACATTTAGCAAAAGCACTATTTCATTAAGATTAGCAAGTTTGATAGTTTTTTAGTTCAACAAAACTGTTATGATTTGAGTGTGTTCCCTAAAGTTCATGTGTCAGAAAATCCCCAATGCAACAGTATTAAGAGAGGGAAACTGAGGGGATTAGGCCACAAGGATTCTGCCTGGATAACTGTGCTAATGCTGTTAACTCAGGGTGGGTTCCTGACACAAGAATGAGTTCAGTTCCCTCTCTCCCATCTTCTACAATAGGATGATACACCAAGAAGGCCCTCACTAGATGCTGGCAACATGATAACCGACTCCCCAGCTAACTGTGAGAACAAACCTTGGTTCTTTATAAATTACCCATTCAGTAGTATTGTTACAACAATATGAAACAGACTTATAGACAACAATGATTCAACTTTCAACTATGTGACTTCTATAGATGTCTCAGAAGCCCTCTTCTCCATTTAAAAGCTGACTTTCCCCTGTGATGCAGCACAAGGACAGACAGTGAAAAAGGCACTCAACCATACTGTGCTTGTATCCAAATTCTGATACCAGTTGTGTGACTTGGCTTAAATTGTTATCCTTCCTAAGCTTCAGTGTCTCACCCTCACACACACAACCCATACTGGGGATTAAACCCAGGGCCTTTGCACTGAGCTATATCCCTCCTGCCCCCTTCTCTTTTGAGACAGGATCTTACTAAATGGCTAAGTTGCCCAGGGTGGGCTCAAACTTGTAATCCTCCTGCCTCATCCTGACAGCTGGGATTATGGGCTTGTGCCATCAGGCCCAGCTAACTTCAACTTCCTCCTTACAAAAAGGGATAGTACCGTATTCTTTCAAGATTTCTATAGGGATCAATACATATAAAATGTGTGATAAGTTACACTGCATAAAATAGAACCTTACAGCATCTCAGAAGTTCAGAAAATAAGACTGTATCTATTCCATGCCTGGCATCTTGCACATAAGGAAACTTATAAAGGGTTACAAAACTAGGCAGTGGTTTAACCAGCTCTCCTAATCCCCAGGCCAATATCCTTTTCAATTACACCATTGTGCCCATTTTAATGGATGAGAATACTGGGGGAAGACAAAGGAAAGAATCTGAGGAATAATTTCTAATTCTCATTTCAGTTTTCAACAGGTAGCATACTATTTTCCATAAAAAATATGCTACCATGATAAATGAAAGCTGTTATTTGTAATGTTTTTAATTTAATCTGAGATAGTTATAATTTTAGAGCATATTAGATGGTTACATTTATTTTTTCAAATAATTATTGGAAAAGTCATTTTAGAAATGTTCCTCTCGTCTATGGCCATAGCAACCTGAACACCCCAATCTCGTCTGATCTCAGAAGCTAAGCAGGGTCGGGCCTGGTTAGTATTTGGGTGGGAGAAATGTTCCTCTCACTAGCCATCAGGAAAATGAGATGTTAACTTATCATTTTAAATTCTTGGGTTTTTTCCAAAATTATTATTTTATTTGGTGAAGACTAAGTTTTTAAAAAAATGTAAAGTTACTTAATACAGTACTTATGAATGAAATGATATGATGCCTGAAAATTACTTTAAAATAACATAGGATAAAGAACATAGGTAAGTTTAGGATACCAAAGAACCAAAAAAAACGAGGCAGATTGATAATTATTGAACTGCCTAGCGTGTACATGGGGTTCATTATACTATTTTGTCTATTTTTATATAAAAAACACCAGTCACCAGTTCAAATCCCTCAAGTTGCTCAAACTAGCTAGATATTAGCATACTAGATAATAAGATGACAGGTGCTGTAATAGCACTGTGAGAAAAGTGCTAGGGAAAAGCAAAAAGGGATTAATTTATTGGAGTGGACTTGGCACTGAGAGAAAACAAAAAGCCAAGAGAGAGTAAACCATGTGCTGGGAATTGCAAGTAGCCTGCTGTGGTTTCTTCAGTGTGCTGATGGGTAGGGGTTAGGGTAGAGCAGGAATGAGGCCAGTAAGGTACTCAGTCAATGAATGGAGCAGAAACTGGGTCACCTACATAACACCGAGCTACCTCATGCATACTAGGTGCACCAATATGAGATATCAAATAAATTATGTACTTAAAATATTTCACAAACCTTGACAAGCAACATCCCAAGTTACTTACCAGGCCTTTGATCCTGTTCCAGTACACAAATTGAGCCCTGAACTCTTCTGTTTTTCCCACGGGCCATCATCCACTGAGATCTCATAGTAGGATGCCCTGTAAACAGAGAACATAAAACTGTTTTTGCTGAGCTTGCAGCTCATAGTAAATAAAACAGACACAATCTTCTTCACAACTGACGGAATCTAAGTATGTCAGCTTCAAGACATATCCTCTTAGTAGACACACAAATTATGCCTCTAATTCCAAAGCTGATTAAGTGAAAAAGTTAGAAGAAAACATTTTTTGTATGTCTGCAGGCCTTTCTGATCTACATGCTCCTCTGTATCAATACTTTAATACATCAAACAGGGCCTTGTCAATTTTTAGCTAGCATTGCTACCACTTTTATTGAATCTAATATATACAGAGCTTCATTTCAGAATTCAAAAAGGAAAACAGATGAATTTTTCATGACTAGTCCTTGATAAATCCAAATCTCTCTAATGTTCTGAGTTATCAATACTTCCTTCTAAACTCTTGTTTGTACAGTTATACTGTATGTTAATTTTTTTTGTGGTTTTTTTTTTTTTTTTTTTTTGGTACGGTGATCATACTGAGGACCTTGTGCTTGCGAGGCAGGTGGCGGAACCACTGAGCTAAATCCCCGGCCAGCTAATGTACTTTTTGAATTGGTAGTAATCTAACAGAGATAAAAAGCTGCAAAGAAAAATTTTAGATCACTTTAGATTAGCAGATAAATTAGAATAAAATTAGAACTAATTTCTTTTCTTTTCTTTCGTTTTTTTTTTTTGAAACTGGGTCTCACCATGTAGTCCAGGCTGGCCTTGAACCCACAATCTTGCCTCAGCCTCCCCAGTGCCATATTACAGGGGTGTATCACTATATCCTGCTTGAACTAATTTCTTAAGAGATTAACATTTCTTAGACTATTTCATAAGTATATAATTAAGTTTTCTAACATCAGCAAAAATGGTACTATTTTTTAACTCCAAGAATGTGGAAATGATTTCTAACTATTCAAAGAACTTTTGGACTATGTAAAAGCCTATTTTGTAAATTCTATTTTAAAATAATGGTATCACTGATCAACACTGGATTATTTGTTCTCCATCAACTAAAAAAATTAATCCCTTAATACAGCTTTTCAAAATGACAACTATTAGACACTCTTGCAAGCACAAACACTCTACAGATAAAACTTTATTTTAACCCTTATAATTTCTCCTGCAAGATCTTAATTTGCGAGGGTTATACATGAAACAACTCCTTTATATTTTTCCTCTGAAGTTAGCACTCCTTATAAAAACAAAAGACAGCAAGCCTAACATACACATTTAATCTACTTCATAGCTTTGTTAAGTCTTCTTAGAAAATGAACATTAGGAATCTATTATGTATAGACAAGCTAGCCAAATCCACAGAAACAGCTAGTACTATGCCAAGGTTAAACAGTAACAAAAGGGATTAGAAGTAAATGGGAAAGAGTGGAAGAAAAGCAGAAGTGGAGAGGAAGAAAAGCATAGTCAGTTAAGAGGTGTCGAGTTCAAAACAATGAGCAAATTTAGTGTCATTCTCACATGCAGGTTTATTGAGATTAGTTAATTCACAGAATTTTTGTTTGGGGGAAGATTACTTTTTAAGGCAGCAATAAAACTCACAGTCCCTTTAGAGTGGGTATAGTTCTTCTTAAATTGTCCACTGCTACAGCCCAAGAATAAGACATTCTAGGTTAGAACAAATAGGAGAAAAGAAAAACATTGGGCTTTTGAAATGTTCTTAGATCTAAGAACATTATAAATGAGGCAGGAATAATATTGCTGCACTTCATATTTTCCAAGCAAAGTACTTAAGTTTTACGAACATAATAAAGCCTCAATACAGGGTATGAAGTCAGAAATAATGGGCTTATATAATAGTTTTGATGTTTAAATATATGACATTGGCCATGTTGTTTGAACCTTCCAAATGTCAATTTTTTTCCACTAATAACTAACTCTCATAGGAATGCTATAAGCATTAAATGAGATTACATAATACAAAAAGTTTGACACATAGTGGGCAAATAAATTTTCCATTTCTTTCTGCCTAATAATCACAGAATCTTTAAAAATAAGTTCTAATGTCTTCAGTGGTTACAATGTGTTCAATAGTATCAGAAGCCCACCTAATGCTGGCTTATTTTAGTAAAGGTATCAGGTGAAGCATCAAAAAACACAAAAAGAAGCAGCATCAGACACTATCCTAAGGGACTTAACTGATCCCCCAAGTGTATCATCTAATCCCCGTTTTCCTCCTTTTATAAGTTACTTAATTTTTTAGTAAGTACAAATTACAAGGCATAGCCAGTAAAAGCTCTCACAGCAGTTAACTACATATTTAAAATATAGAAACAGAATAAGCCATTAAATAGCTTGCCTAGAGTAAGCATAACAGAAAAACATTTTACTTTTGTCATCCATTTAACTTAATGGATTTTCTCCAATCTCATTTAAAGTTGTTATTCTCTGTCTAATGTCTTTGGTAATACAGTAATGAGTAGATTATATCACTAGTTACATCTTCTCCTCTTCTGTTACATGATAGTACCTCTATTCACCTCCATATTGCTTCAAACTGAATGTGTCACAAAAAACCTTATACACAGTGAGACCCTGTCTCAAGATAAAAGAAAAAAAAAACTCTAATCTTATAAGGTAGTGAAAAAAGTCATACAAATCTAAAATAAGGGACATTCTGCAAACCAAATGGCTTAGACTACTCAGAAATATTGGTGTCATGAATGATAAAGCAGGAATAGGACTAAGGAATTATTCTTAGTTAATTTTAAAGAGTCATAATGGTCAAATGGCCAAAAACAATGTGTTATTCTTGACTAGATCCCAAATAAAAACAAGCAAACAAACAGATCAACTTTAAAGGATACTAAGACAATTACTGGAAAAATTTTATTTTTTAATTTTATTTATTTTTTGAGACAAGGTCTTACTACGTTGCCCAAGCTGGCCTTGAATTTCTGTGATCAACTGATCCACCTACCTCACCCTCCTAGGTAGCTGGGATTACAGGTGCACACCACGAACCTAGCCCTAGTAGAAAAATTGTAAGGACTGTCTATAAAAGTTTTGTATCAATTGCAAATATATGTCTAGTATATCACACTCTAAACATTTACAAAACATCTACATAATAAAGATCCTAGAAAATGATGCCATAAAGAAACCTGAATAATTCAGTTTAATGTAGGGTTTCATCAACTTTTTGGGTCACAGAATGTTATTTTCCCGGAATGTGTATTAATGTGTATGATGGTTTTGAAAATATTTCATTAAATAATTAATCTGTTACTTATACAGTATTATACAGTATTATTTAAAAATCTTAGCTAAGTTGTAGAAATTAAATAAATACCCAAAAAAAGTCCTACAACATTAGATTCCAGACTCAGGATCACGGTTTAAAAGTACCTGGATGAAAGACTCTCCCCAATGAAGACTTCATTTAGTGCTCTCACTGGCAAAAGCTGGGGTCCTGAAGCCTCAGACCCTGAAGCAATGGGGAAGAAAAATCCAAAATAGCTCCTTAAATTTTAGAAATGTTACATAAAATTATAAAACATTAAAACTTTTATAGTTTTAATAGAATTATATTCTTTAATGTAATCACATAAATTAAATATCTTATTTAAAGTAATATAAACCTTAAAGACATCTATCCTTAAACCAACAAGTGAAGCCTCTCTCCAAAATAACCATAATTCTACTTGAAACAATTTTTTAAGAGTGATAAAATAGATTTATACAATTTAAAAGATTCCTGTCGGTTTTACCTCGAAAGCTTTAGAAGCAGAATAAGTACTTCCAAAGAAGCACCATCTTGGATTAAAGCAGCAAATTACAGGAACCAAACTAGATATGTTAAAAGATCATTAATGTTTTGTTGCTATTTTCAAATAGAAAATCTCAAAAGTATTTTTAACACCAGCAGCATTAGAGAAACACTGCTCTAGCTCCCTTCAAGCGTCTTAAACTATATCATTTTTTCTTCTTTTAATCTATAAGACTGTAAGCACAATTTAATTAATTTTCTGTGATTGTTTAAATGTAACTCCATCATAGAAAACCATCCAAAGGACTCCCAGTGCCTTTTGAATCAAACATGTGATTGCCATCTTCCTAGAATTTCCTTTACTTTTTGTTTATTATCAGCTTCCAACTGAAATGCCAATCTCATCTCATCATCAATGTAGCAGGTTTATCGCACTCAGTCTCCCACCAGACAAGCACCACGGGACAACTTCACTTTGCTATTCCCTCCATAACTTCTCCTAAGTCAGTGTTTAAAAGTCCATCTCAATTGTGGCAGGCAGCCTCCGAGACAGCCTCAGTGATTCTTGCTTCATGATACTCACACCCTTGTGAATAGATGCTCTCCCACATCATACCAGGATTGTCCTATGTGACCAATAAAATGAGTCAGAAGTGATGTCATATACCACTTCTGAGATTACATTAGAAGGGACACTATGGCTTCCTTCATTATCATTCTCTTTTTCTCAGCTCACTTGCTGTGAGGGAAGATATGTCCAAAGACATGGCCTTTGCAGAGGCCAGTGTGGAGAAGAACTGAAGCCTCCAGCTAACAGCCATGTGATAAGCTGAGTAGATCCTCCAATCCAGTCACATCTTCACATACTACTGCCATCCTGGTTGACAGCTTGACCTCACCTCCTGAGAGACTCTGAACCAGAACTAACTGGTTAAGATGCTCCTGGCATGCCTGACCTTCACAATCTATGTGAGATTATAAATATTTATGTTTAGGATGCTAAATTTTGGGGAAATTTGTTACACAGGAATAAAGACCTTATACACATAATGTCACATAAGTATCACATAGATACTGAATACACTAAAAATAAAACCACTGTCACCAACACAACCAATGCTCTATTCTCTGTGTGGCCAGCCTGGTTATTATATTCTTCTGTTCACATGTTTATTAAAGTGACCATTCATTACATTTTCTTCATTTCTTTTGGATTGTATCTCCCTAAGTTGAACTCAACTATTCTTTCACATTCAAAAAGTTATTACAATGCCAAGGATCCTTGAACATTAATTTTCCTAAATTATCAGTTTTATGATACAGAAAAGAACTTGACATACAAAGCTAATAAAAAGATTCTTGTGCTCTGTGTTTATCAAATTTAATTGCACTTACAACAGGCTAACTTTTGAAACTGTCTTAATTTGCTATTAGATATATTTATATTCTCATGCATGCCTGTTTAACAAATATAAAATTAAAAGTATTATTTAAATTACTCCTCTTTAAAGTAATTACTAATGAAATTTGTTTCAGATCTCCATCCCCAGATTTCCTACAAATGTTGAACTGTGGTGCTCACTAAATATTACTAATACATTTATTCTCACCAAACTGTAACAATACATTTCTCCTTTTTATTATCTTGACTTTCTACCTCTATTCTCATTTTCCATAATTTTCTTCTCCATATTATATTTTTATTACGTGTCCTTATGGAATTTCATCTCAAAGACTTTGTCAAATGAAGAATCGCTTCAAATATCATTAATCATCTTAATTCTGTTTATACTTTCATGCTAATTGACTACCAAACCTTACCTAATCACAAAACTATTCAATAACTTGCTTCAGTGGGACATGAAAAGAGGGACTTGAAACTGATTAACCATTTTTTCTGAGAGAATGTATTACAAACTTATAATTTGTCTTTTTAAATATACACTTGTTAAACTAATGACAGAAACTACTACCCTGTATAATTCTCCCAGGTTCTCATACTGCAAGACTATTTCTGGGTCTACTTCCATTAGGTGGAATCATGTGACTACTGGTAATAGCCAATGGAATGTGGGCAAAAGTAATGAAAAAGCCTGGCTCCTAAAACTTAGATCCTCCATGTGCTCTGTATTATTCTTCCCACAAGATACTGAAGATTCAGTATAAGACTCAGAACCCTTAGAATACAACCAGAGCCACTATTTGGAAGGAGACTGGGCTGCCTGAACGGCCCCTGTAGTGAGATGAACTAGTAAGAAACCTCAAATTGAATTAAGTTGCTGATATATTTGGTATTATTTATGAAACCAATTCACTTCTCCAAATTTATATGACTAACCTGGCAAATAAGAAAGTTACTACTTATATGACTAGAACTTAAAAAAAAAGAAATAAATCAACCCTACCATACATAACCTTCCTGAAGCTATATTGGTAATAAAAATGAATTTTTCTTTATTAACTTGTAGAAATACAAACTAGGTAAAGATAGGTTATACCATATAAGATAAAAAAATTTCATTTATAGCTAGGTATTGTGGTGCACACCTATAATCCCAGTTACTTGGGAGGCTGAGGCAGGAGGATCACAAGTTTGAGAGGAAACTTAGTGAGATCCTGTCTCAATAAATAAATAAATAAATAAGTAAGTAAGTAAAAAGAGCTAAGGATGTAGCTCGGTGCTCCTGATATTGGAAAAAAAAATTGTTTTCATTTGTTTAAAGTTATATTTTCCCTTTTTTTAAGATGAAAGGTAAAATAAATTTTTTTTCCTTCCATTCTTTTGCTCTAAATTAGAAAGTTAATTCAAGAATCAAATATGTTAGTATGTTTATAATTTAAACCTATTCTGTATTCAAAAATCTCAAATGGAAGCCTCTTAGGAAATATTTCCTGGCAACTTGAAGAGAATATAAATAGGAAATAGAATATATACCCTGAAATTGCTTTGAATTTCTCAAAAAATAAAGATACAAAAAACCTCCTATAAATAATAACAACAACAAAAAACAGTCCTGTAAATTAGTGTCTAATATTGCACTGGTAAATACCATATAATTGTTAATAATAGTAATATAATTATAATACCACATCTAACATAGCTATTAAGAAATCTAAAGCTTGATTCCAAACATTTTATATATAAAATAACCTGCTCCAACATCACCACTACTACCTCCTTCTCTCTGAAAGTCAGCAATAGCTGTTTCTTCCCTAAGTATTGTATTCTGACATATTTTAGTGTAGGTCCAATTACCACTAATTATGCTGAAAACTGTGAATTCCTTCAATTCAGATTCTTCCCTACATTTTGAGAAATTTTCTTGCATTATTGTTTTAATTAGAACATTTTTTTTCTTTTCCTAGAACCTACCATTAATCAGGTTTAAACATCCTGCATGGTGAGCTATCACTAAGTTTATATGTACTCGATTATAGAGGTTTTTTTGTTTTTTGCTGTACTGAGGATTGGCAGGGGCTCCAGCACTAAGCTACATCGCTATTCCTTTTTTGAGAAAGGGTCTCACCAAGTTGCTTCCAGGCTGGCCTCACATTTCTGATCCTCCTGCCTTAAGCCTCCCAAATAGTTTCTATCACAGGTATGCGACACCCTGGCTGGCCATAATTGTTTCAATATATAAAATACAAATTTAGTTTATAAATTAAACCCAGTGAATCCTAGACATGTATCTGAGCAGTGAATCTCTGTATGCCAATCTACCTTTTCCTAAAATTATATGACTTAATGAAAAGTGCGCATCTTTTAGAGGTAGCAGTAACACGTTTAAGTGAGATACAATAAAATTTCTAGTGATGATTTTAAAATCTTAAAAGTTACTGAAGACTTTCAAAAAACAATAAACATAATTTTAGGAGACTGGCAGTACTGGGGATTAAACCCAAGGAGCACTGAGTGTTTTAGGTACTAGAAAATGAGGGAAAATATGGCTAATAATCCATAAATTAGCTCAAAACTGAGAATTCACCTTAACCTTCATATTAAAAAAGTTGCAAATTGCCTTAAAATACTTCAAACATAAATCTTAAGTCTAAGGTGCAAAATCTCTAACAAAAAGGTTCTATTCAATAACTATCACTATAGTAAATATATCTAAGCATTAACCACATAAAATGTATAATTATTATGAATTCTTCCACAGAACAGCTCATTTTCTATTATGTTTGTTTTCTTTCGTTTTTGGCATTTCAAAGATTAAGACCAAGAATCTTTTTTTTTGGTATTGGGGATTGAACTTAGGGCCTTGCACTTGTGAGGCAGGCGGTGGCATCGCAGAGCTAAATCCCCGGCCCCCCAAGAATCTTAGCCATCAACTATCCTGTCAGGTATTAAATGATCCTCTTTAATCAACCAGTTTTCAAACTTGCCCTGGAAAAAGAGTTCTCCTAGAAATATATTTCTTATTCTGAATTCTAATTGTAATAAATTTTACAATAAAGTAGTTTATACTTTGTTAAGTGTTGTTAGTGGCATTAAAATTAAGTTAACTACCAGTAAATATTATTATCTCAAAAAATTAGAGGTCAAAAGGACTAGAAATTCTGCCCCTAAAACCAATTCTAGTTGCCAATCCACCTACTTTCATCACCAACTCTCCCAATGTTGAAGGCTCTGCTATGCTGATTCAAACTTAGCTGCTGTTCATGAAGGTCCACAGGAATGGGGTTGATGCCAGTCCCTTCAAGATACAACCTGATACGCTGCCTCCATAACCACCTTAGAAAAGTGAAGGATAAGAAAGTTATGTTAAAACACAATGCACTAAATTAAGGATTGGACATTATCATAACTTCACCAAATTAAAAATTACTTATTAAAAAACTAGGCATTCCATGAACAAATTATACCTGAAACAACTAAATACCACCCCCCCCAGTTCCTGTTTAACGAGAAATCCAACATTTATTTCTCTGCTCAGTTATAAATATCTGAAGTGTCTATATAAAATCTCCGAAGTGACTTGAATTAAAGTCAAACTTTTTATCAAAAACCTATTAAATCTAAGATATTGAGCTCACCATAACCTTGTGTTTTGCAAAGCAAGAAAACATACAAATAAGAAAGCATTCTAAAAGTAAAATAGCATGTTAAGATGGTTAGACTGGAGAAAATCCCCCCAAATTCCACAGTGGTGGTTTATTAAAACAAAATAAGAGATTAAGAACAAATATAACATCTTTATTACACTTAAAGCTTTAAAGAATATTTTGATAAAAGTAAAGAGGAATTATGCTTAACTGATTTCAAAATCAATAATGCTGTTTCAAAAATGGCCAGATTCAGCTTGGTAATATATAAAACTATATTCCCTCTTGGGGGAATTAGTCGCATTAGAGTCGCATTAGTCACATTATAAATTAGTCGCATCTAGAGGTACCGTATTTCTGACATCATGAGAAATTAGAATCACCAATAATAAAATAATTCTAGAGAAGTGAATATTTTGGGGTGCAACTGAATGGGAGGAATAATTTCACATGTTCTATGGCACAACAGAATAACTACAGCTGATAATAACTGAGTATTTCAAAATAGCTAATAGGATTTTGAATGTTCCTAATACAAAGAAATGATAAAGTCTGAGGTGATGAATATACCACCAACTACACCGACCTGATTATCATATATATTTTAAAATATAACATTGTGGGGCCAAGGATTTAGCTCAGTGGTGCCGGCGCCTATCTCGCAAGCACAAGATCCTGAGTTCCATCCCAGGTACCAAAAAAAAGTAACATTGTACCACAAAGATATCTACTATGTGCCAATTAAAAACAAATTTTTAAAAAGTTTAGAACTATTTTACAATATTTGGAGGAAAAAACTTGTTAAAATATAAAAAGTAGTTCAATTTGGCTCTCTCATATATAACTGGCTAATCTATCCCAGCTTCTCCCTCTATCTGCCTCTTTTCGTGACATCTGACCATTAAACACATTAAAAGAAAGTTTTTAAAAAATCCCATCCCCACTGCTTAACAAACAATATGCAAAACAGAGGTGGCTGTATTAAATATTCAACGCTCCATTCATTATTAGATAAAAGATGAATATAAAAATATAAAATCTTAGCTGGGCATAGCGATACACACCTGTAACCCCAGCACTCTGTGAGCAGTGAGGCTGAGGTAGGAGGATCACAAGATTGAGCCCAGCCTGGGCAACTTAGTGAGACTCAAAAAAAAAAAAAAAAAAAAAATTTTTTTTTAAAGGGCTAGGGATGTAGCTCAGTGACAAGGCCCTAAGTTCAATACCCACTACCACACACACACACACATTAAAAAAAAATATATATATATATATATATGTATACATATATAAAAATACGTAAAATCTCAGAATTTGAGCCCTTAACAGCTTTAACTATCTTAAACTAAGAACATATAACAAGGTTAAGAACTTGGCCTCTGTCTCACTCAAGAACATCTCTAATTGCACTTACAGCCAAGTAACTTAACAAATTTTCTCATCATAGTTCTAACTGGACCAGAAGAAGTTAAGTGAAATCTATTTGTGATTCAGCAAGTGTATTACTTTTTAAGGCTACTATTCTAACTATGGACTAATCCAAGTAATAGTCCTGACTTGTTCTATTTTTAACAGCATTATAAATGACACATACTTATTAAAATATATAAGAACAATAGTAAAAAATTCCTACCTGAATTCACCGCTACAGAACTTCTGTAAGGCCTCTGGGAAGGAATGTGTATATCGAACAGGCAGACATAAATGACCTTCAGACCTTTATTTAAAGTGGATTTTAGGGTGGTATAAAGGAAAGAAAAGGAGAGAAGAAAAAAGTAATTTTAAAAGTATTATAAAAATCAAAATTGTCTGTACTTTCAAGAAGAACAAAAAGACCAAATAGAAATAGTCTATAGCTTTAATGCATAATACACAATAATACTTAAGTTTCCACATTATGGTGAAACTAAAAATAACAGCAAATCTGCTACTGTCTGATTACCGTATAAAGTTATCTACCAGTATAGTGGTGTTTGCATCCTACCTTTAAACTATTTAGCTATGAACTTTGAGTAAGCTACTTTGGTATGTTTTCTTATCTCCAAAGGCATGATAAAACCACCAATCACAAAAGATTATTCTGAAGAATGATCTATGTGAAAATACACTAAACCATAATCCCCTATAAATGTTAAGATGTTCTTGGCCGGGGATTTAGCTCAGTGGTTCCACCGCCTGCCTCACAAGCACAAGGACCAGAGTTCGATCTCCAGTACCAAAACAAAAAAAATGTTAAGATGTTCTTAAATGAAAAGAACCAAGAAAGTTTATTCCAATGTGAATAAAAAAAGTACATAAGGATGAACTACAAGGAATTCATAGCTTAATGTGGAAGACAAATTAAAATAAATTGCAAATTATAATATGGCTAAGCTTCCCTATAAGTTGCTACAGGAAGATGAGAATATATGGCACCTAATGATGTCCAGAAAGCTTATTTATCATCACTTACATAATGTTTTGATTAAGCCCAAGTTTCCACACTGTTTTTCCCCCTAGATGACCTTTCTAATGCTGTTACGGGAGTACACAGGACAACAGTCAGACTCATCTCCTAGATCAAAGATAATGAATGAAATATATTTAAAAACTATCAAGAAAATAAAGTGAAGGAGAATTAAGTGGTGTGAATAAATAAGATATGAGCTTTGAAAGTCAATGGGCAATTTAGTGAGATAAGAGAATAAGACTGCTGTTAAAGTAGGCGGCTGTGGTCAGAATTAAATTAGGACTGTAGACATAGAGAAATTCCAAATGATAATAAATTTATGATCATGACTGTGAAGATTGGAATAGAATAATGGTTAACATCACTGAAGCTAGAAAAGAGAAAAAAAAAACAAAAACAGCTGGGCATGGTGGCATATGCCTGTAATCCCAGTATTCAGTAGGATGAGGCAGAAGAATCTCAAATTCAAGGTCAGCCTTGAATTTACTATAGTGAGACTATAGTAAGATGCTGCATCAAAAAATTTTAAAAAAAGAAAAGTAGAAATAAAAAACAAAAGCACAATAGTTTAGATAATTCTTTTACTAAATCAATAAAGTAACCTAGAAAGTCAGTACAGGAATAACCAGGAATATGTATGAGATTCATAAGGAAGGACAGAAGATGGATAATTAACTCATGCTTCTTCAGCAATGCCAAATGTCTCCAACATTTTCCTAGTCAAGGCAAAAGGTCTATTATGCCACAGACCGCCCCCTCCCAAACTGCCTAAGAGATAACTGTGCAGACTGGTTCATCCAATAACATAATTTTCTACCATCGATGCCAGTGACATGAACTATGTCTGTGCTAAAAATTAGAGCTGTCTTTGAAAACATCTACATAAAAGACACCCCTATTTAAAGCTGGTGATTAATTCTACATGCCTAAACTTCATCCAAAAATTTTTGGGACATGGTGCTACTCTTCATGGTAGCCAGGAAAAAGGATTCTTCCACTTAAACATCATGAAACATAGTAAAATCCCTGTAGCAACAGAGCCTAGTAATGTGACTACAGTACAGAAAGTAAAGAATAGCTTTTGAATTTTAAGATTTATTTTAGATACTAAAAAAGCAAATCAGAAATGCCTATTTATATAACATGCAAAAGAAAAAAACCCCACAAACCAAACACACAAAAAGAACATGTTTTTCCTTACCGTTCTGGATCAGTGTTTACCCCTATAACTGGCTTAAGTCTGTCTAAGACTTTACTTGCTGCCAGAAGCATTGTACCATCACCTAAGGGAAATAAAAGACAAGAAGTAACCAGACTGGTGTTACAAAACCAGTTTTTGACATCACTCTGAAAATTAGTACTTTTGTTTCAACCTACCATGCTGACTGCCATAGCCTACCTCTCTTCCTTTCTTTCTACTATATCTTTGTATTATCCCTGCTGCTTAATCTAATATTTCAACAGTAGCAAGAATGATATCTTGGGCAAAATGTTCTTTGTTGTAGGGGGCTGTCCTGTGTACTGCAAAATGTTTAGCAGCGTCCTTGATCTATATGTATTAGGTGACACTAATTCCTCCTGGCTGAGAACTACTGCTGTAATCTCAAAACTCCCTTCCTTCTCCAATAACCAGTCCAAATTCATAAATTTTCTTGTTTTTTATTGTTTCTGATATGAGCTTTTTATCTTATTGAGCATAACAGACAAAATTATATCTATCTAAGGTACACAACATTGTGATATATATATTCATATATATATATATAGTGTGACATGTACTATAATCAAGCTAATTGATACACCCATCACCTCATATATTTATAGCAATTCTTAATTTCCTCTGCTCAGAAATATTTCATAATATTTTAGTGAGAACATATTTAACGAAAATGTCCAACTTCAGATTTCTCTCTCCAAGAATTATCAATAAAAAGCTTTAGAAAGAATGGTCACTAATAATGACAATGTTCAGGAAATAAAGAATTGTCAGTATAATGGAACCAAAGAGGGCCATGGAATTTACCTCATATCATTAAACCATCAAATTCAGTTGTTTTTTTTAAGCTACCATAATTAAACCAGAATACAATTACAACTAATCTTCTGAATTAACAGGTGAAGTTAAAAGCACTCCTTAAATATAAACACAGAAATATACACATGGAACTTCACAGGAACATACTTCACTATAAATATGGGATGTTGTATAAAACATGTCTCAAAACTAATCCTAAAATTCCAAACTTTTGTCTTCTGATAGGACTCTGAAGTCTTCAAAATAGCTATAACCCAGTGTATCTAGAAATAATGTGTATTAAAGAGCATTTCCATGTCCCAACATCTTCATCTCTATGAAATAATTACCTCCTGCAGCTATGACAGCATCTGCCCATCGAACAGTCTCTTCATCATATTCTCTCCTCTTTACTAAGCGAACCTCGATTCCTTCATTCCTAAGATTAAACAGTAAAGGTCATATAAGATTTCCACTGATGGTAACATAATAAGGGTATGTTTTCTGAGAAGCAAACTGTTACAGTGGAGATATAAAACAAATTATGTTTGTGATACATAAATTATGTGTAGCTTTGTAAAGGTTAGCTTCATTTTCATTTAATTAAAACATCCAATTAACTGTAAGTCACGAAACATACGAATAAACTAAAATTTAATAACTATCCAAATTTCCATGCACTGTAAAAATACTCTTATAGGGCTGGGGATTTAGCTCAGTGGTTCTGCCGCCTGCCTCGCCAGTGTAAGGTTCAGAATTTGATCCCCAGTACCAAAAACAAAAACAACAAAAATTCTTATAACCGCTAATAAATAGCAATACTGGTCAGAATTTCATTTCATTTTCTCTATTCCTTCTGAATTCTAAAATTTATTAAAACAAAGTGGTCCAGAATATTAACATTTAATAAAGCCAAGTAGTTGTTATTTCAAATTCAACAAATATTCATTGAGTGGCAGACTCTCAGTGACAAAAACATCTTAATTTGCATGTTTTCATACTGATTCTCTTGTATACACACAAACTTACCCAATGATTACAATTGGTCCCAAATTAACTAAAATTCTTACAATGATTTTATACACTCAAAGAATATAATATACACTTATATTGTACTGTTAAAAAACATTACATATACTGTTGAACACAGCTGAGTACTAAATTAACAACAGATAAGGCACTTCTCTGGTAGACCAAATAACTGAAAATACCTATGAAATTTTCAGAGCACAATAAAAATTTCCTTAGAAAGCTATAAAATCAGATCCATTAACCTCAATATAATTTTCTGAAAATGATTTTATAATGACTGTGTTTACCAAAATGTAAAAATTAGTTGCTGGTACAAATTGTTTAAATGGAAGTCCCGAATATAAAAGCCCAGCCAAGGGGCTGGGGATTTAGTTCAGTGGTTCCACCAACTGCCTCACAAGTATATAAAAGGTTCCAAGTTCAATCCCTGGTACCAAAAAAAAAAAAGCCCAGCCAAGGCCGAATCCCATAGACTTACCGTAAGCTATCTACAATATGCTGTACATTTTTGGTGTGAATATGATGTCGTTCAAGTAATCCACTGTAGCTAGAGCCTTTTAATGCAAGCTATATAAAAATAAAAGAAATGTTGTTTTAGACATGTAATATACAATATTTTAATACTGGTTTTAAAAATCCTGATATAAAATAGAATCATTTAAAAGTACATTTTAATGACTGCCTGTGAAACCTACAAGTTCAAACTGAACTAGATTCATACTTTGGTTTTGATAACAAATACTGCATGATCTCAAAATCTGCATGTTTTAAAGCTTAGCATTTTAAATGACTTTTTAACATATCATGTATGGCTATCTGAAAACCAAACGAAAACTACTATTTTTAGAAGCAGTTAGATGACCTTTATTCCACTTGCTTTTGCTGCTCTCTTGTGTTCAGAGTTATGAACTCTATTTGGAATTTACCCTACAAAAGGTAAACAAAGAGTTGGTTAGTTTGAAATAGGGTAACTTTTAGATATAGACATTTATCTTTCAAGAATTATTTTTCCTAACTGATTGGAGTTAACATTTTCTAACATCTCACTGGTACTGCCCTTTTAAAGTATATGTCTTATAAGTAATCCATAAAGTAAAATAATGAGAAAGAAGTTCAGAAATATTCTCAATGAACACTCACTTAATCAGCAAGTAGGAAATCATCCACTGGAGTGAATGCTAGTAGAATTAGGAAGCATGTTTTTGTCTTTCCTTTTCCAAATTATTTTATACCTTTCATCTTTAGGATATAGAATTAATTTTGAAGATCTTGTCCAATTTAAAATCTTAAATGTTTTTATTTTAAATTACCTGAGTTACAAAGAAAAACATTTTTTAAATTGTAATGTGTATCTTACATTTTTAAATACTATAAAATAATGCTAAAAACATGAAAGATGTATAAAGCAAAACAAAAATCAAATATAATCTTATTCTGGGATAACTGGTGTTAATATTTTGCTATCCAGTCTTTTGTCTACGATTACTGGGTTATGAGTTTTTAAACAGTTTTTGTCCTCACTTTATAATCTAAATAGAAATGCATATTTCTCAAAAGAGGAGAGGAGGAAACATTGGGCTACTGTGAAAATTAATACACAGATGTTAACTCATAGATCAGACATCTTGTATAACAAATTAGTTCTTATTCATAAGCCTCATATTAGAGCAAAATAATGTCAAGAACGTTTTTAAAGCAGTGACTAACACAATAACTAAATAACACAACCCATTTACTTTAATCTACAAATCAGTTTTGAAAAACTATTCTTAGAGACTTTCAAATTATAGATGGGCATGGCTTCAGCATTCAGATTATTATTTTCAATATTCAGCTACAGATTAAAACTGCACTAAACATCTCTCAATGAGTATGGACCAAAATCCCTTTCTTCTCTACTTACTATATATAAATACCAGGAAAGCAGTAATCTTTTCTTGTTCATCACTGTCCCTATGGTTCTAGGTGGTGGATAAGTATTTGTTGAGTGAATTCATTCATGCATGTTTCTGTTTTTTGTATTGTTTGAATGCTTGGCATACATGTTTCTGAAAAGCAATAATACTGCATAAGCTGGTGCTAGAGAAGATAACTCAGCTAACAGACAGTAGCCTTCAAAGCAGGTCATCTTTACCTGATCAGAACTGGGCAATGGTAGATTAACCAGAGTAGTACATTATATTGTTACAGTAAGTACTTCCCATGATCCCACTTTACAAGTGAATGCTATAAACTGAGCTCTAAAAACTTAAATGTATTCATCAAAATATCTGAGCCACCTGACTGTGTAGTTGAGCTCAATCACATGTATTACATAGGGCACTGAAAATTACCATGGACACTGAGAACTCACTAAAATGCACAATAAGTTTATTACAGTTTCATCAAATCTACCTCTTCTGATTTGCTATAAATAAAATAAGGGTAGCTGGCTGTTATGATTTGGATCTAGATGTCATCCTAATGCCTCATGTGGTCATAGGTGACTTTTCCAGAGGTAGCTGAATCTAGAGTGTGTAATGGGATTAAGGACAGCTGGGATTAAGGGCCTGTGACTACTAAACCAGTACAACGATTGGTTTGGCATCATCCTAATCCCTGTAGTCTGGACAAGACAAAAGAGGCAGAAAGATGCTGTTAAAGTTCCCTTGTTTTTGCTACTTTGTGGGTGTCTTGAACTGTTTCTCTTCGGTAACGCCCCATTGCCATGTGCCACTCTGCCTTGGAACCAGCCATTTGTGGACTGAAACCTCAATAAACTGAGCTAAATAAACTCTTTCCCTTTTAACTTTGGATGCCAGGTATTTTGTCTCAGCAATGAGAGGAAAGTAACTAACACACTGGCCCTTGGACTTCAATTCCTTGTCCAAATTTTTTGTTCTAACTTTTGGTTCGGACTACATGGAACATGTACCAAGGAATAAAGGACATAAACTTTACTGGATAAGCCCTATAAATTCTATTCAGGGGATTAGAAACTTTGCACTTATTTTCTACTTCTCAACAGGCTCCAAGAAATTAAGATACTCCGCAGTAGAGTGTTGTGGAACTTTGGTTTGAGATGGTGAAGGGGTTTGAATCTGTGGTGAAAAAAACGTCTTAAAGAACCAACAAAAACTTCAAGCTCCCTATGATTGCTACCAACACTAAAATTCCAAATCTAAAGTTCATTTGGGATCAGAATTCTTAGCACTGGAGCAGAAATGTCAGTTCATAAATTCTTATTCCCACTCAAATGTCTTATTTTGAATTAATTCTGTAATAATTCATGTTCAACATTTATTTAGAGAATAAAAGATTTTATATTATTTTATTTAAAGCTGTAGCTGGTTGGGTGATTGGATTTTTTTTTAAAACAAGGATTAGCTAAACCAGGCATATAAAAGATAAAAAACTTAAGAAAATCATTTAGACAAAATAATTAGAAAGTCTTAAATCACTGCTCAACTGGCTCTTATATTTGTACAACATGCAACAGCTAGTAAGAATCTGTAGCTATATCCCTGAAAATAACATGACTTCAAGCTTCTAAAAACATACCTTAATCAGACAAAAAGAAGAACACACAAATCCTTGTAAAATGTTTTACTACTGAGGTTAGAAATTAAAAGAATTTAGAATCCATTCTCAATTCTGCAATGTTCCACATTAAGTATTAATCTTTACTATTTTTTCCAAAATTTGTTAATTCTTCTATCCATTAAAAAAATAAATAAAAAGCTAACTCAACAAAACGCTGGTAAAAAGCAGGTGAGTCTTAAAAATCAAGACAGATACTTTTCAGTACAAGCAAGAGAATATCTTATAGAAAACACCACAAGCCACCATCTCTTCTCCTCAAGTAGCTCTGATGTTGAAACAGAACACTGCATGAAAGGAAGAAAGGAAGGCTCCAGGGGGACAGATTTAGCATTCTTTAAGGGAGATGGGATAGTTACACTATTTTCTAAATGGTCTACAACACTTTTATTATATATCACTGACACTTTTACTTAACCCAAACTGAATTTATTACAACTACAAATATTTAGAATTTATTATACCAGTCAGTTAAGTGCTATTATTTGGCACTCTAAGCAATTTCCATAAAAGTTCAGTAAGAACAGGAGCTATGTCTTTTAAAATTTAGCACATAAGAAATGCACAATGATACAGTGACAGTTTGGTAGGTAAACTCACTACGCATGATGTAATCAACCTTCCAAGTACACACACTTGCCAGGCTTGGTGGTATAATCCCAGCTACTCAGGAAGTTGAGGTAGGAAGACTAAGCTTGAGGCTAGCCTGGACCACGTAGGACTCTGTCTCAAAATACATTTTATGTTTGTTTGTTTTCTGAGACAGAATCTCCCTACATAGTTCAGGCTTGCCTTGAACTCAGTGGCAGCAGCCCTCCTACCTCTGCCTCCAGAGTCCTGGGATTATATGTGGGCACCACCACATTTGGCTCAAAATAAAATTTTACAGAAGGGCTGACAGGTACAGTTCAGCGAGACAGCACACTTGCCTAGCATGTACCAGGTCCTAGGTTCAACCCCCAGTACAAAAAACTATTGTTCATAAGTGTCTTAAAAAGGCTAACAGCACCCAAATAGCAGCTAGAAAGTTAATAACTCTATCATGATCAGGCCTGGTACACTGACCCCTAAACATTTCATATATTTGCTACTTATTTTGAATCATTTCTATCCGTCATTTATTCTTTCTCTCATGTTTTCACTTTCATTTTCCCCAATCTTCTCTGCTTCAGTATTTCTTTTGTCAATTGTTTACTTCCTCCCTTGAATGTGGGTATTCCTCAAGGTTCCATCTTTGGCTCTTATCTGTTCTCACTTCATTTTCCCTGAATTATCTCCAACTGGACAATTTGACCTAGCAAATATGAGCTAGTAACTCGGAATTCTATCCTGCCAGTCTAAGCTGCCCTCTTGAGCTACAGGCTCAAATTTTCAAAGGCCTACTTTAATATCCACTCACAGGTAACTCAAGAAGCTCTCTCCAAAAAGATTTCAACTGGACTAGTTCCCCCTTTCCAATCTGCTCTGCTGAGAGCCTTGTATGCACCATTTGCACAGGCAACAATCAACAGAATAAACCCTACTGTCACCTTTAATTCTTCCTTCACACTCAGTCTCCACTGCCAGCCAGTGGTGATGTCAAAATACTTACATCCATAAACTGCTTCTCCAAAGCTGTGTCATTTATGTTTATACTGCCACTGCTTCAGTTCTGGACCACATCCACTCTTATGTGAATTACGGTAAAAGCCAGCCTCCAGATTTTTTCAACTAGTTCCTTCTTTACATGTTTTACCTAACTCCCATCCCCAGGCTAATTACCACCACCTGAAACCTAGTTTTACCCTTTGCCCAAAATGCTGATGTCTCAAAAAAATTGACATTCATCACCCCATTCCTGTGGGAAAAAAACAGATATAATCCTACTAAGTTTGAAGACAACCAGAGGAGAAAGCCAGTTCCTTGAAATGATAACTGACACCTTCATATCATGTCCAGCCTACTTGTTTAGCCTCTATATACTTTGTCTTAACCAGTGATTTTCAAAC